AGAACCTAAGTTCAATTCCCAGGACCACATGGCGACTATGACAGTCGTTAACTCCAGTTCCAGAGGAATCAGATGCCCTCTTCTGACTTCGGAGGCATTGCATGACAGGATACCCTCACATGACATGGTGCAGTCATATACATGCAGACAATACACTCATATACCTAAAATAAACATAATAAATAAAATATTAAGAAAATTAGAGTATTGTTTATTTCAGTACACCTTTGTCAATCTAATATTTTTGGAAAATTTTCATCTTATGTACTTGAAATATATTTTCAAAAATTTGGAGCTTCCAATTGAGCTTATTAAATTTTTTTTTTTTTTTTCTCTTTGAGACAGGGTCTCCCTGTAACCCCAGCTGTCCTGGAACTCACTATGTAGACCAGGCTGGCCTTGAACTCACAGGGATCTGCCTGCCTCTGCCTCCTGAGTGCTGGGATTAAAGGTGTGCGCCACCACGCCCGGCCCCAGTTTATTAGATTTATGAGGAATATTTACGAGCTGTGAAGCCATTCCCTCAAATTCATCAGCTGTTGGAGTCTCACATTTTCAATTCAAGTTAACACATGTTAATACATACTCCTGTGACACTGGTTTTGAGTATTTTTTTTAAAAACTACACATACTGAATTCTTTCTTTCCTCCTTTTCTCCTCTTTCTCTTTTCTTTGTAAAAATTTTATTTATTTATTATGTGTATGTGTATTATGCCCACATGTATATTAAGTGCACACATGTCATGCAGTGCCCTCAGAAGCCAGAGAGGATGATGGATCCCCTGGAACTGGAGTTACAGACAGTTGTTAGCCACCATGTGGGTGCTGAGAATCAAACCCGGGTCCTCTGCAAGAGCAGCCAGTGCTCTTAACTGCTAAGCCATCTCTCTAGTCCCTCTGATCAGAATTCTTAAGATGTATCATGGTAAGGCTGGGTTTGAAATGTTTACGAGGAAACTTTCTTTTTATTCAAGACAAGAGCTTGCTGCTCACTGTGTTACCCAGGCTGACCTCAAACCTGCTGTGTAACTAAGGATAATCTTGAATTTCTGATTCTCCTGCCTCCATTCTGTGTACTGGAATTGCAAGCTTTCACTACCACACCTGGTTTTATGGGATGGTAGGAATCAAATTCTAGGCAAGTACTGTACTAACTGAGCTATGTCCCTAGCTTTTTTTTGTATTTTTTTATTCCATTTAGCTCTCCTCTCTCTCCCTCCCTCCTTTCCCCAACTCCCTATCCCCACCCCCAGCATGTACATGCAAACATCTGTAGCGGTCAGAGGATAATTTGCAGAAGTCAGTTCCCTCCCTGGGACTGAACTCAAGTCCTCAGGCTTGACAGCGAGCATCTTTAACTGCTGAGCCATCTGGCTGGTCCCCATTTGTTGAGCTTCTTAGGTCTGTATATGTCTTTTACCCAATTTAGAAATATTCAAATGATTTTTCTACTCCAACTTCTCTCTTGAGACCCCAAGTACACATATAATATAGTTTTAGAATGGCTCACAGCACAGATGTAGTTGCATGCTCCTTTAATCTCAGGATGTCAGAAGCTGAGGCAGAAAGATTGCCTCTAATTAGAAGCCAGCCTGGGGCTGGAAAGATGGCTCAGGAGTTAAAAGCACTCACTGCTCTATCTGAGGACTTCAGTTCAGTTCCCAGCACCCACATGGAACACTCAGAAAAACCTGTTAATTCTAGCTACAGGGATCTGACACCCACTTCTGACCTCTGTGGGCACACACACACACACATATTATATCTTTTTAAAGAAGTCAGCTGGAGACATCTCAAACCAAAAACAAAATAACAACAAAAACAGAGAAGTGCCCACTGGCCAGTGAGGTTCTATTTTCAGTTAAACTTTTTCTTTTTTTTTCAAGACTGGTGAATTTACCCTGATGTATTTTCATGTTCCTTGAGTCCTCTATCATCTTCTATCTAGCATTGAGCTGAGGTTTTTTATTCATATATTATAGTCAGTTCTAGAATTTTGTCTTTTTGAGACAGGGTCTCCCTGTAGCCCCAGCTGACTCCTCCCATAGCCTCCACCACTGGAATTCATGCATTCTGTCACTGTTAAGGCCTATCGAGTCAAGTTAGTATCCCCAGATGTCCCTCAGTTCAAGTTTACCCACCGAGATCTAGTCAGCCTATCTAGGGTCACTCCTTTTTTAATTAAAGTTCTAGAATTTTTATTTATTTATTTATTTATTTATTTATTTATTTATTTATTTATTTATTTAAGAAATGTAATTTAAAGGGCCTGGAGAGATGGTTCAGCAGTTGAGCACTGGCTGCTCTCGCAGAGGACCCAGGTTAGGTCCCCAGCACCTGCATGGCAGGTAACAACCATCTCTAACTCCAGTTCCAGGGGATCTGACGCTTCCTTCTGTCCTCTGCAGGCACTGCACAACATGGGTGCACTTACACACATGTAAACAATATATTCATACACATAAAATAAAAATAATAAATAATAAATTTTTTTTTGGTCTTTTTGAGACAGGGTCTCCTTGTAGCCCCAGCTGGCCTGGAACTCACTATGTAGACCAGTCTGGCCTTGAACTTTCAGATATCTGCTTGCCTCTACTTCCTGAGTGCTGGGACTAAAGGCAAGTACTACCATGCCTGGCTATAAATAAAATCCTTATTTCTGACCAGAGCAGCGCATCTTAACCAGGGATTATAAGACAAACAAGATCATATATCTTTATCATTTCATCCCAGGAACATTCAGCTCCCTGAGCCAAGCTTTGGAAACTTAAAATCTAAGCAAGTCACAGATAAACTCTGTGGAACCTTCCACTGTTTCAAGAAGAGGGTCAGGTTTGGAAAAATTCCAGAATCTTTTTTGTTGTTGTTTTATCCACTAAAGGTCTTTTTGAGACAGGGTTTCCCTGTAGTCACAGCTGGCCTGGATTCACTATGGAGACAAGGCAGGCCTTTAACTCACAGAGATCCACCAGCCTCTGCCTCGAAAGTGTTGGGATTAAAGGCTTGCCACACCACACCTGGCTCACTTTTTGGTCTTTTTGAGATAGGGTCTCCCTGTAGCCCAAGATGGCCTAGAACTGGCTACGTTGACCATACTGGCCTCAAACTCACAGAGATCCTCCTGCCTCTGCCTCCTGAGTGTGCTACGCCTTTAATCCCAGCACTGGGGAACTCTCTGTGAGTTCGAGGCCAGCCTGGTCTACATAGCTAGTTCCAGGCCAGCTGGGGCTACAAGGAGACCTTGTCTCAAAAAGACAAAAAAAACAAAAAACCCCAAATTCCAGAATCTTGAGTAAAGTCATAGGAACAAGAGACCAGCACTGAAGCGTGAAATGGTGAAAATTTCACCTTCCTAACAGCATAAGAGTGGTCAAGAAATTAAGAAACAAGTTGTCATGCATTGCTTAAGTCCCAGCCTCTCAAACTACAATCAACAGTTCCTGTTTTCATTGGAATGACACCAGTCACCGCTCAGGATTTCTGTCTGAAATCACCATTCTGACTCCTGTGGTCTTTACATCTCAAATTCTCAGCGTCTGATCACTTGAGGCTGAAGCAAAACAAACAGGGATGTGGACAGCCCAGACTGTGCTGTCAGTGACACTTCACGGCCTCTAATGGTACACAGAGAATTTGAAACGATTGGATCCTGCACTTTTGACAGTTTGATCCCGTGAGCTAGACACCACAGCTTTTTACTGCTGGTTTGAGTCCAATCAACAGTATATACCTCTTGAGTATAGAAACAAAAAGACTAAAAATAAAAGGAGAAATTCCTACACTTTAATAATTGGACCCTGACTACTTAGAGCCTGACCCCAGTGACTTGTGATTTCTTGTACATACAAACATTTAGAGTTTAACTTTTTTTTTTTTTGGTGTTTTTGAGACAGGGTAGTCCCAGCTGTCCTGGAACTCACTATGTAGACCAGGCTGGCCTTGAACTCACAAAGATCTGCCTACTCTGCCTCCCAAGTGCTGGATTAAAGGTGTTCAACACCATGCCCAGCTTAGAGTTTAACTCTTAATGACCCTTGCATGCCCCATCTCAAGGAAGACAACTAGTGATGGAAATTTTACTACTTCAGATGGAAAGATGTTCACTTACCTATCCAGATATGTACCCTGCACACATAGCACAGAAAATAAGAACAAGTAAATATCCCTTAATTGTTATAAAGGAACTGCTTTTCCACAGGCAGGGGAGGTATTCTCCCTGAGAATTCTCCAGCTAAGGCTCTTGTTTCTCTTGCAGAATATTTTATTTAATCTTTTTGTATCTGTTCTGGTTTGGCAAATACTTTTCCCTGTACCTCCCTCTTGTTACCATTGTTCACAGAATACTAAGCACACATTCTACCACAGAGCTACACGTCCAGGGTCTCCCAGGAACTTTGACACAAGGCCTTACCATGTTGCCCAGGCTGGCCTCAAACAGTCAAGTCCTGCCTAAACCTCCTGAATACTTGGGTCTACAGGTGTACCCACCATGCCTGGCTCCAGGAACATCTTGGACTTATACAGAAAAACCACTGATTTTGAAAAGTGAAGACTGTTTTTTTATCAACTTTTTAATATGAAAACTCAAATCTATATAAAATTTGCACAAATGGGTAAATAAATGTCCATCTACAATTCATCCAGATTTGTGAGTGGTGTGTTATCTCCCTCTGTATATAGATATAAGTATACATATATACATATACTTATTTTTGTTGAACCATTTAACAATTGGGTGTAGACATCTGCCTTTTTTGAGACAGGTTCTCCCTGTAGCCCACATTGTCCTGGAACTCACTATGTAGACCAGGCTGGCCTTGAACTCACAGAGATCTACCTGCTTCAGCCTCCCAAGTACTGGGACTACAGGCGTACACCACCACGCCCAGCTTCAGTTATGTCTTTTTTTTTTTAATTTGTCTTTTTGAGACAGGGTCTCCGGTAGCCCCAGCTGTCCTGGAACTCACTATGTAGACCAGGCTGGCCTTGAACTCACAAAGATCTGCCTCCCAAGTGCTGGGATTAAAGGTGTGCACCACCACGCCCGCCAGTTATGTCTTTTATAGCTGCTTTGTTTTTTAAATCGCAGATTCAATCAAGAATCCCGAATTGCAGTTGGTTGCCATGTTGTGGTCCTTTTTTTTTTCTCTCTGTTTTTCTTTGAAACAGAGTCACAGGTAGCCCAGGCTGGTCTTGAACTTGCTATGTATAATAGGAGCAGTTCTGATCCTCCTGCCTCTACCTCCCAGGCGCTATATTATGAGCATACACCACCGCCTCTGGCTCTTGGTCTCTTTTAATCTTGGAGTTCCCAAACTACTTTTTCTATGATATTGACATTTTGAAGAGTCCAGGTTAGATGTGCAGCAGCATGTAAAAAATATTTGAATTTATCTGATTATTTCTTCATGATTAGGTTCATATTAAACCTTTATCTTTTCTTTTTTACATGTGTGATGCTGTTGCTGTGGGGGCTTTTTCATTGTGATGCCCCCACCTCTTCTCTGTAGTTTTTGGGACAAGGATTGCTCTGTAACTCTAGATTTAAACTCACTTTATAGCCCAGGATGACACTAAACTCATGGCATGCCTCCTCCCTCAGCCTCCCAAGTTCCGGGACTATAGGCCTGCATCACTACAGCCAGTTTTCAGTGCCTCCATTTCAGATACGAGAAAGTTGTGGACCTTCTGAACTTCCAAGCCTGGGTGTGTATGGAGAGCTATAAGTTCCTGTCTGCACAGCTTCCCAACTCCCCAAGGCTGGCCAGTGGGAGCAAGAGAAGAAATCACATCTTGAGTCTTGACAGAGTCCACTGACAGGGGCAGCTACTGGCTACAGGCACCTGTGCTGGGCATCTAGGACAGAGGTGAGAACTCAGGTGCTCAGTGGCCAGCCAGCTCCTCAGCGATGGGTCACCTGTTACCACAGCCACTCTCTGCTGATGCAGCTGCAAAGGAAACAAGTGGGCTGACGGAGGTGGCCAGGACATGGCAGTGCTGTCCTGCGGGAGGAAAGAGGCAGCAGGGGACAAGTGTGCCGTGACTGAGGGAGCCAGAATAAAAAAAAAAAAAATTGAAGAAATATAAAAGGATAAAACTTAAAATACAGACTGAAGGGGCTGGAGAGATGGCTCAGTGGTTAAGAGCATTGACTGCTCTTGCGGAGGACCAGGGTTCGATTCCCAGCACTCACATGGCAGCTATGAACCGTCCTTAACTCCAGTTCCAGGGGAATCCTAAGCCCTCTTCTGATCTCTGTGGCATTGTAAGACACGGGTGCACTCACATACATGCAGGCAATACAATCATACACCATACACATAAAAATTAAAAAAATTTTAAAAATTAAAAAAAATACAGACTGAAAGAGAAGGATAGAAGACACACAGGCTAGAAAGGGAAAAGCAGGGACAGAGATGAAGAGACAGAAACAGATTCAGACCCACAGAGAATAGAAAGCTGGCAGCCCAATGGCTTCATCAACATTTTCTGCGTCCTTGATCTTGGGAACTGGGACAGTGAGGACAGTTGTGCTTATACTGGAGAGTCTCCGAGGGCACAAGGGCTTCTCCCAGGGGCTGAAAGGGTCACCTGTTTAGTCTGTACTTTTCCAAACACAGAACTTCTCCTTTGTGCTTGAGAAGCCAGGCTCTGGGCCAGAAGCTTCCTCCCTGGCTCAGCACATCTCTGCTTTTTACAGGGCTGTCCACAGATAGGGATGTCTCCTTGTGACACATTTGGGGTGAAGAGGAGGAGCAGGAGAGAGAGGCAGACAGACTAGATGACTGTGGAAAGAAGGAGCACTAAAAATAGCCTTCTCTCTGGGTGGGGAGGAATCCAGAATCCCAGGAGCTGCCCAGCAGGGTGACCTCTGCTAAGGATACCAGGCCAGGGCTTTCTCACGAGAAAAGGGACATGGGTGGGAGAACCTGCCCAGCTGGGTAGAGCCAGCCTCAAGAATTCTGTCAGGGTCAGACTCCTCCCAAAGCTCATAGGGATGGCTACATTAGAGGAACTTGGCCCAGAGGGGACTTTCTGGCAACAACATGCACTGTGTGTGCTTTTCCCTGTCAGGAAGTCAAGGCAAGGCAAAACGCAGAGTCAGGCTTCTCCAGCACCACAGCTGAGCCTGAGTGAAGAAGCCCCTTTCTGCCCTCACCCCAAAGAACCCTACCCCCACCCCTGTTTCTCACTGAGGCGATGAAGAGGTGACAAGGGACGGGACAGGACATCCCGCAGACTCTCCAGCCATTCTCGTTGTTCTTTCTCGTTGGGGCAGGTGAAGATGAATCTCCGCTCAGGCGTGAGGACAGTGAGGCCAGCTTTCCAGCGGTTTCCTCGGATGCCCTTGGGCAGGTCTTCACATACTTCATAGCCCTGCTCATTGCTCCCGAGAAAAACCTGGCCCTGCTCAAAGGCATCCTGAAAATGGAAGGCTTCTGGTTATCAGAGGCTGCCCTGGGACAGAGGGGCAGCTCTGCCAGTCCCAAGCTCCAGTTTGGTAAAGATGTGTGAGTGTCATTATTGAGAATTCTGCTAAGTGGCACTTTGAATTTGAAATGTTACAACCCTAAAGTAAACTGCATACAAAATCTGCTGAAGATACTAGCATACAGAGACTATACCACAAACCAAGCACTCTAGGTTTATTTTTGGTTTGTTTTGGTTTTGGTGTAGTGGATTAAACCTAGAGCCTCATACATGGTAGGCAAGTACTCTACCACTGAGCCCAGCCCTCTTTTCTTAATTTTGAGACAAGGTCTCACTAAACTGCCTTGTTTGACCTTGAACCTACTCTGTAGTCTAGCCAGTCTTTGAACCTGCAATACTCCTGACTCTGCCTCCCAAGTAGCTGGGATTACGGCTGGTGCCACCAGGCAGGCTGATCTCTGTGAGTTCAAGGCCAGCCTGGTCTACATAGTGAGTTCCTAGCCAGCTAGGGCTACAAGGAGACCCTGTCTCAAAAAGATGAAAAAAATGGTTTTTTTTGTTTATTACTTTTATTTTATGTGTATTTTGCCTGCATGTATGTAAGTGCACCTGTGTCATACAGTACTGGAGGAGGGCAGAAAAGGGTGTCAGATTTCCTGGAACTGGAGTTATGGATGGTTGTTAACTGCCATGTTGGTGCTGGGATTCAAACCTGGGTCCTCTGCAAGAGCAGCCAGTGCTCTTAACTGCTGAGCCATGTCTCCAGCTCCATATGCAACAACTTATACAGTCATCATGGCTACCGCTGAGTAAGGCATTCATATTAAGCCAATTTTTTTTCAGGAGGGAAATGTGGCATAGAGAGCTAAGTGCTACTGTGCCCAGCGCATGGCCCTACAGTAGAAGGGCTGACACTGGAGTCTGGCCAAAGTGATTCCAGAGCCTACTTCACTAACCGTTCCATTCCAGGCCTCCTGGTTATAAGAGAACCCTGGAGACTGGAGGAAGGAATGCACCTTACTTAACCACTATTGGCAGCACTGGAGATCTGGAATGGAACTGAGAGAAGCAAGGTTGTAGACTTTCCTGTCCAGGGTTCTCCAGCTCTGGGACTCTGAGAGATGGGTTTATCTGTATAGTCTTTGCTAAGCACTGGCCCATCCGTCTGGGAACATCTCCAGGAGGGACCAGAATTAGCTCTTACCAGGGGGTTCTTGTAATACAGCAGCTGCCGCTCCTGGGGATCCAGGGCAAACCATCTTTTCTTGAAAGGTTCTCTCTGCTGCAAAAGAGGGAACTTCTTACCAGATATAGCAAAGCAAGGGACAGAGGTCAGGGCCAGCCCAGAGATGAGGCCAGTCCCACTGGTTCTCCCAGCCTGGCTTCTGCAACCAGATACCCTAGAGCTTCTCCCTGGGGCCTGGACAGGTGTTCAGACTCTGAAGGCTCAGCCCAGCCCCTCTCTGCCTGTCACCTCCTTCCCTACCCCCTGCTAGCCTTGCCCTGCTGTCTGGGGTTGGAAGGGGTACTTCCTTCTTTCTCAGGCTTTGGACAAAGAAGTCTCAGAAAAAGGAAGCCAGGGAAATCAGAAGTGGCTGAGGCTCACCAAGTTGAAAGTGCTGGTCTTGGCTTGACTCTAATCTAGGTCAGGGGAGAGAAAGTCCTGAGGCAAGAACCATGGGAAGGGACTGTGCCTGACTTCTAGGGGAAGAAGCCTATCTCCTCCCTTTCACCACATTTTCAATGTACCTAAGGTTTTCTCTCACACAGCCCCCCAACACCTTTCAGTGTCCTCTTAACCATCCTCCAACAACATTATACTTGCTTTTGCACTGAACCCCTGACCTTTATGCATGCTAGGCAAGCCCCTACCTTGAGCTACATCATCAGCCCCTATCCTACCTCATTAAATTTTAATTTTTAAACAGTGCCTCATTAAATTGTGTAGACTGATTTTGAACTTGTTATATAACTCAGGCTAACTTTGAATTTGCACTCCTCCTGCCTCAGTTTTTCGAGTATCTGGGATTAACAGGTCGGTGTAATTATGCCTGGTTTACAGAAAAGCCAGGGTCTTCCCCTCAGTGGCAGCTGGCTTCCTCTCTCCCTCAGATAACTGAGAATGTACAGACCCTATGGGGGTAGGGGGTAGATTCAGTAAAAGGGAGCAAGGCTGGGCATGAGAAGTGAGGGCCTACTGGTAAGAATATGGGCCTCACTGGCACCCTACGATGGGTGTACAGCTGTGTTTCCTCAGACTAACCCATACAGGATTCAGAAACACTTGTACAAAATCTGTCTCCCTAGGGAGTTCCTTCTCAGCTCTGCTTTCCCAGGGTTAGAGTCTATGATACTCAGAGGAAAGAAGCTGATGGTGATGACGATGAGGGTGATGTGTGAATGGAAGAAACCCCTGGAGCAATGCTGAGTCACATACCAGCCAACTCTAAGTCTCTAGTCAGCCCTTCAACTCAGGAACTTACAAATACTGGTATTTTTCCTTTCTCTCCTTCACCAGCCCTCCCTCCCATTCCCCCACTCCCACCCCTAATTTTCTGCCCTATTGGAGTATGGGGCAGGGTCATGTTAAGTCCCCCATAAAGCAGTGAATGTACCTTTGGACCAGTCTTCTCCATGAAGCCTTGTTTGAGGTAGTTCCTGGTGATGAGGGGCACGAGCTAGGGGAAGAGACAGAGGCTGACCCACATTCACACCAGGGCTCAAGGTTTCATACCGAATTTGGCCCCCAGAGAAGAGAGTTTTGGAATGAGGAAGGATGTGGACTCATGGTTTATGGGGTTATATTTGGAGTGTGCACTGGATATAATACAAATATTTCAACAAAGCCAATCAACAGGACCTCAGATGTCTGCAGAGCTTACCAGCATGGTTGGGTCAGGATTAAAGGACTTTATCAGTCCTAGGGTATGGACTCAGGCAAGGCTGTCAGGAGACCTACTTGTCTGTTCTGGGTACAATTCTTCATGAGTTTCTAACACCTACAGCCCTGGGTGGTGGGTAGGTTTTCATAGCCTTATCCCACTCACAAATAAACCAGGTTGCAGAGAAGTGGGAGGGGACTTTGCTGAAGTTGGGTGGCTGATAGCCTGAAGAGGTATGTCACATCCAGGACTGACAGGCAACAGGCTGACAGAGCCCTCTGACCAGATGCCCCATGCCAGCTGAGATCTGGTCACAGATTCTAACATAGATCATGATGGCAGGGTTGGAAACAGAAAGCTCTGGACTAGGAGACCGGAGTTCTAGCCCCATTTCTGGTCTCCACGAGCTGTGTTACCTTGGCAAGACTTCTGTCTCTGGGGGCCTGTTTCCTACTGTGATCTCCAAGAGCCTTACAGCCTAATTTCCTATGCTCAGAGAAACTTCCAGGGATTGACAATGGCTTCCCATGCTTCCTGGGAGTGGGGAGAGCAGAGCCGGGCAAATAGGGCTTAAAATGGCAATCTAGGCTTCTAAGAAAACATCAGGGTCCCTGGAGTTCTATGGCCAGAAGCTGAGGTAAGATCTGAAGAATCGCAACAGGAAGTCTACAGAGAGGAACTTGGGGGCCCCAAATGAAAAGCACCCCATTCTATATAGGCTTTCTTCTCTGTTTGTAGAAATTGGTCCCCTAACTGTTCCATATTCTGAATTTGAGCCAGCACAGGGCCCATCTAGACCTAGGGAAACAAGAGAACAAAAAGAAGCCTCCTGACTGTAGTACTCCTTCAGCACACCTTCCCAACCTCAGACTCTGGCCTCACTGTATCCTCACAATAGCTCTGGCAGGTGGACATCAGGCCAAGGTGACAGCTGAGTCCAGGGGCTCAGAGAGGTGATGTCACTTGCTGGGCAACACACCAGGCTCTCTGACTTTTTTCTTTTCCTCCCTCACTTTTTTTCTTGGACAGGGTTTTGCGCTGTATCCAAGACTGGTCTTGAACGCAGGCTGTCCTCAGACTTTTAGCAATCCACCTACCTCAGCCTCCAGAGTGCTGGGATTAAAGCCTACATCACCATGTTCAGGTTCAGGCGTCGCTCTTTCTTTCTTGTTTTGGGAATGGAACCCAAGGTCTAACACTTGCTAGGCAAGTGCTCTATTACTGGGCCACAGCCTATCCTTGCATTTCAGATCAAAGGACTACAAGAATTCATGGGTTTCTTTTTTTTTTTTGAGACAGGGTCTCCCCTGGCCTGGAACTCCCTTTGTAGACCAGGCTGGCCTTGAACTCACAGAGATCCACCTACCTCTGCCTCCTGAGTGCTGGGGACTAAAGGCGTGTGCCACCACGCCCTGCAACTTCATGGGTTTCTAACACCTACATCCTTAATCCTAAATCAGACCTCCCAGAACCTCACATCACCCATAGACCTAGGAAGGGAAGAAAGACATGGGAGAGAGGCAGGCAGGGAGGAAACTGGGGGTGAGTAGGGAATGGTAGATGAAGGAAGCAAGGGAACATGGAGGACACTGGTCAAAGACCAACTTCCTCCACACAGATCAGCAAAGACAGGAAGCCAGGCAAGATTAAATAAGGCTGTGCATCTGCTCTTTTAGCCTCTGCTCCTCTGGGTCAGCAGTCAGCAGTCAGCACTCTGGACTCCCCGCCCACTAAGCCAGCAGTAACCAGCTCTTGGTGCTGACTCAGGACAGCAACCTTGGCCTCAGGAGTTCTGACCCCTGGTCTTGCTGGAAATGTTCCCAGGGATCTGCCAAATGGGTGCATCACTGGACTTTGAGTAGACCCTATCCCAGACACCCAGCTCCTTACAAAACCCAGGAATTGAGGAGCATTTAGGCTTTCAATGATGGTCTAACCAATAAAAATAAGAAACTCCAGGATCAGGCTGGGGAAATGGCTCAGTGGGTAAAGTACTTGCCAGGCAAGCATGAAGACCCAACAGCACTCATAAAAAGAGCTGGCCCTGGTGGTGAGTGCTTGTAATTCCAGCACTGGGGAGGCAGAGATGGAAGGATACTCAGAGCTCATTAGCCAACCAGGTTAGTCCATGGGCAAGCCCCAGGTCAACAAAGAGACTTTATCTTAAGAAAAACAAGGTGTTCCAGGAGTGGTGGTGCACGTCCTTAATCCCAGCACTTGGGAGACAGAGGCAGGTGGATCTTTGTGAGTTCGAGGCCAGCCTGGTCTACATAGTGAGTTCCAGGACAGCTGGGGCTACAAGGAGACCCTGTCTCAAAAACACAAAAGAAAAACAAGGTGAATGGCATCTGAGAAATGCTGTGGGAGGTCTACTTTTGGCCTTCACATGCACACGCACACATGTGTACACAGTTATAGACAGACAGACAGACACACACATACACACACACATACACACACAAGAAATCACAGGACTGGGGCTGGTGAGATGGCTCAGCTCATACACAAAGTAAATAAAGAAATGCAATAAATTTAAAAAAAAAATTTAGGGCCCACCTTTCCAATCTCACTGTCAATCACGTGGTGATAACACCACCCCTAGGAAGGCAGGTTCATCTTAAGTTATGCTAAATAGATGGGTGGAAAACCTGGTTCCTTAATGAGGTAGTAAATTTTTCCTGCCTGGAATCCTGCCTTGTAACGCAGAATTCCACAGAACTTCTGACTAGCCACAGTCATGTAGCTCTCTGTAAGTCTGTCTGCTTTCTGCTGTTTGGGTCCATTCTTCAATTCTTTTATGAATGAGACTAAGAACACTCTAGGGAACCCCTCCCCCATTTCTGTACAGGCCGAAACTATGGACATATGGCGTCTTATTTTAATTAAGAGACAAAATGACCTACAGTAACAATATGTGAAGATGCTTTGCAGATGACAGACTGGCACCATCCTTTGAAATATTTTGGAAAAAATTTCATTTTGTACCCTTTGTATGTTCAGAATATAGCGTTATCAGAAACCCTGAAAAATAAAATAAAATTTAAAAAGAAAGAAAGAAACAAACAAACAAAGAAAGAAAGAAAGAAACAAAGAAAGTACAGGAATGCTGGCTGTGGTGGCAAGGTGGCCAAAGAGTTCAAGGTTATTCTTGGTCACACAGTAAATTTGAAGCCAGCTTGAGTGACATGAGACCCTGTTTTTAAAAAAATAAATAAATAAAAATAAAAAATTAGGAAAAAGAAAGTAAAACAAAAACAACAACAACAAAAAAAAACCCTAGGATCAGCATGGTCCCTCCATCCCTGTCACTTAAAATATTCTCTTAAAAGGAAGCCTAAATCACATCCTCAATTATAAAACCTCATAGATAGAAGGGTCCCTGAAAGTGACTTGGACCAACCACTATCTTACCAATATGGAAACATGCTCAGAAACATGGTATGGCCTGTAAGGGTCACACAGCATGTCAGTAACAGAGCATTCAGGAGGACCCAGGCCCCTTGGTTTAAAATCATCCTCTGCCCTAGGCTATTCCAGCTTCCCTGGCAAGCCTGCAGGAAGTAGATGGGGGCCCCAGATGTCTGGGGACAATCAAGAAGTTCTAGCTTATAGTCAGCTTCATTACCACAGGCAGATCCACTCCTGCTACATAACTGAAATGAAGAAGATCCCAGCATCTTCCTGAGTCCAGAGTACCACAGCGCACAGGTATGAAGGCAACAAGGAAAGAGCACCTTCTATCATTCCTTTGCCAGGAGTAATCACCCAGTCCAAGTGCCTCTAAGTGAAGCCTAGATAAAAAGAGTTAGGACATGAAACGAGCCCAAAGCGCTTTGTGTGTGGGGTTCAGTGGCACATTTTAAGGAGAAGGGGTCAGAAAGAGATGCTCAAAGGCTGAAGTTCTTGACCCTTGTAGTGGCCATGTGACTTGAAGGGAAGCCATTGATTTGCTTTTCAGAGGCTACTTGGTTATCCTCCAGCTTCTCAAGGTCTTGCCTGCAATAAACCTAGCCTGGCTTCTGGGCGTCTTTAGGGGTCAGGAGACAAAAAGAGGAAAGGGGAGACTCAGAAGCTGGACTCACATTTAGCTCACCTCAGACTGTGGGAGATCAGGAAGGGCCATTTTTAGGTATTGCAGTCGGGCTGCACGGAGAGCGTTGAACCAGTCTACAATCTCCTGCCAGGGAAAATGCAAAGGACATGGGCAGTGGTGAGCTGGGCGGGCATGAAAGGAGCCTGGTGGCAGGGCTAGGGGTGGCAAGGTTTGGGTACTTAGCAAATGTACACATCATACAGTTCCAACTAGGGGCACCTGGAGAGGGTTATATCATAGCTGAGGGGGCTGCCCTGAGCAAACAGGAAGTCACGGACAGGAAGGGCTCCCAGTTGTGGAAAAGGACCCTTTGTTGTTTTGTTTTTATTTGTGGTTTTTTTGGTTGTTGTTGCTGTTTGTTTTGAGACAGACTCTCAGTATGTAGCACTGGCTGGCTTAGAACTCAACTATATAGACCAAGCCAGCCTTGAATTCACAGAGATCTTCCTGCCTCTAACTCCCTAAGTGCTGGGATTAAAGGTGTGCACCTGGGGTCCTCTTGGAAGATTTGGTGTGGAGAGGGACTGAGACTCTGTTCCTTAACCTCATACTCTCGGATGGCATGGTACAGTAGGTCAATGGGACACACACTGAAGAGCAAAGGTCTTAGAAAGACATCAAAGACCGGCTTTTAGAAGGGTAGGGGGTTGCACAAAGGACACTCCTCCATCAGGGATGCTCAGGACCTGGAATGCACACAGGCCACAGCTAGATGGACCTTTGTGGTATCACACTGAGAGAGTGCATCCCTTGGCAGCACGGGCCACCAGCATCTCACCAGTAGGCAGCCAATCAGCCAGCATGATTTTCTTTTCTTTTTGCCTCCCTCCCTTCCTTCCTCCTTTTTTTTTTTTTTTGCAGTCTCATGTAGCCCAGAGGCTGGCCTTGAACTTCTGATCCACCTCCCAAGTCCTGGGATTACAGATGTGTATCACCACACCTTTTTATTTTTTATTTTCTATTTTTTAATTTTTTTTTTTTTTTTTGGTCTTTTTGAGACAGGGTCTCCCTGCAGCCCCAGCTGGCCTAGAACTCACTATGTAGACCAGGCTGGCCTTGAACTCACAGAGATCCCCTGCCTCTGCCTCCAGAGTGCTGAGACTAAAGGTATGCACCACCATGCCTGGCTCACACTCATCTTATTTTGCTGTTTATTTTCCCTAAATAAATGTTTATTGAAAACTTATACTGTGACAATTAGTAGCGCTTAATCACAGAGCAAGTTAGCTTCAAGAATATAGCACAAGTTATTTTATGATGTGATGTCTCAAACACGAAATCTCCTCTGACCTAAAGGGAGAAAGGCAAAACTATTCTTTGAATAGAAGCCTGGATCTGCTAACCCAAAGACATTGCTATCAACTAAATATTTACTTTACAAAAAAAAACAAAAAAAACAAAAAAACAATAAGCCCTTTGCCACAAGGATCCTAACGTATCCTAGACTGTTAGCATGACTTACACACACTCCTCCCACACATGACTGTTTGCAATGGTACCAGCACACACAGCTCCTTTCTCCTGCTCCATTCCATTTTACCTACAATGTTCTACTCATCGCACTGGTTAGTTTGGATGTTGTAAGAGATTCTTAGGTACTTGCTCTGCCCAAGCCGTACTTCTCTGACTCACCTCCCTAATCAACCTCACATCCCTATGATCCCCACCTTACCTTGGTTACAGAAGCTTGTCCAATACAAAGCCTGGACTGGGCTTATCAGATATTCTCTCTCTCTCAGGAATTTGGAATTGGGAGACTGAAAGACTTGTTCAGATAGTTGCAGTAAAGAACTTTGATGTAATACAGTGATTGAGAAAGTGGTTTAATTATAGTTTCAAAAGAATGCCACAATTTCCCTTTCTCTTCCCTAGGCTAGATACATGGACCTAGTATTCTGGACTTCTGTTTAAGCTCTCCTGTCCTGGTGTTTGTTAAGGACCTTCTTGGCAGAGTGTGTTGGCACATGTAGATAATCCCAGAATGAAGAAGGCCAAGGCAGGAGGAATGCCACAGGTTTAAGGCCAGCTGGGCTACATAGCAAGATAGAAGGAGAGGAAGGAAGGAAGGAAGGAAGGAAGGAAGGAAGGAAGGAAGGAAGGAAGGAAGGAAGGAATGGCTCACTCTAGTTCTGGCACCTCCTTTGTGTGGTGCTATTTGAAGACTTTGGGGAGGGAGGGAGGGAGAGAGGAAGGGAGGGGAGGGAGAGGAGGGAGGGAGGGAGGAAGGAAGAAGGCAGGAAGGGAGGAAAGAGGAAGGGAGGGAAGGAAAGAAAGAAGGAAGGAAGGAAAGAAGGAAGGAAGAAAATAAGACAAAAAGTGCTTGGATCTCAGGCACTAAGTAAATGGGGACATCCCAGAAAAAAAAAAGTACCCAGCCTTCACTTTACAAGATTTCTCAAGTCACAGATAGTGGTCCTGGAGCTAAATCCAACTTGCATACATGTTTGGTTTCTGAAGTTCATTTGTTTCAATCCTCTATGCCCTGTTTGTCCTACGTTCCTGTTTGTCACACCCACCCCCTTCTTATACCCTTTTACTTAAAAAAAGTTTTACATTTATTTGTTTAGTGTGGGTGTTGGGCTAGGGGAATGTGCATGTACCATGGTGTGCATGTACCATGGTGTGCATGTAGAAGTTATAGGGTGACTAACAGTAGTCAGTTCTCTCCTTCAATCATCTGGGTCCCAAGAATTAAACTCAGGGCATCAGACTTGGCAGCAAGTACCTCAAACCACTGAGCAATCTCGTCAGCCCCACTTTACATTTAGATTACCTGTCTGGCTCATTTAGGTATAAACCCACAGTTTCCATTGAAGTCCATCTATCAGAGAGGTTGGACATCAACAGGAAGAGAAGGAGGGACAGCCTCAGTACAAATCATCATGGTAGTGACTGACAGAGGGGAAGGCTGATATGACTGCCTAACCAGTCTGGTTAGAGTAGAGACATCAGTAGAGACATGCCAGACCCCACAGACTGAAATCCAGAGGCCTATTCCATATCCCCAGTCTGGCAAAACTAAAGGAGGGGTGGAGAAAAATGATCGGTTTTAGATTTCTTATTAATCTTACACATGGGGCCCTTGAATTTAAAGAAAGAAAAAAGTATGCCTGAACTGTACCTGGTGGCATAGGCCTGTAATACCAGCTAACTGACAGACTGAGGCAGGAGGGTCACAAGGTAAAGGAATCAGAGCTACAGAGTCAGGTCCAAGGCCAATCTGGATAACATAATTAGACCTAACTCAAAATAAAAAGTAAAAAGAGGATCTTTGTGAGTTTGAAGCCAGCCTGGTCTACATAGGGAGTTCCAAGCCAGCTGGGGTTACAGGGAGACCCTGCTCAAAAAGACCAAAAAAAAAAAAGTAAAAGTAAAAAGAGGGATGGGAATTTGTTCAGTGGTACAGTATATGTAAGACATCTTGGGTTTGATCACTATTACCAGAAAAATAAAATAAAATAACATGAGAGAGAGAGAGAGAGAGAGGGAGAGAGAGAGAGAGAGAAGAAAAAAGGTATGACACTACTTGAACCCCTGGTATTACATAATAACATGCCTCTTAGAAAGAATATATTTTCTTTCTCTCTATCCTTTTTTTCCTTTTCTTATCGTCTTTTCCCCCTCTTTTCTGTCTCTATCTCTCTGTCTCTGTATCTTTCACACACACACACTACACACACACACACACACACACACACACACACACACACACACACGAGTTCCTGTCCTCAATCTCTCAGGAGCCCTGACCACACACGTGTCCCCTGATATAAACTCTGTCTTCCCCATCTAAATCCCTTTAACCAAATCAAGTATGTTCCTCTCTAGCAGAGTTGCCCAATTCTTAAATAGAGGTTCCTTTATTTAGAAAGGGCTTAGAAAAAAAACCTTTCTTAAAGAATTTCATACAAGTAGATGATGTATTTGATCATATTAACTGCCCCCATTCCCCTGTCTTGTCCCCCTCCTGCCCCCTCTGGACATCTCCTTTCCAACATGTCTCCCTCTACTTTCATATCCTTTTAAAAAAATAATTCACTGAATTTAATTAGTGTTGTTTGCATGCACATGGTTGTGGGGTTATTTACTGGATCATGGACAACTTATCAGAGGCTACACCACTAAAGAAAGATAATGGAAAGCCTTTTTATCACACATTCCCCACCAGGACATTTTCGCATCTCATGTGTCCACACCAGGATGGCTGTCCTTCACAAGGCATCATCAGTGCCTCTTCCCCGTTTCCCTCCCTCCCTTGACTGTGAGATCCTAGAGACCACAACTCTGCCCCATTCCCTGTCACACTCCTGGGACACTTTGCACATTTCAGAGGTCTGATAAGGACTTGTTGATGGGTAAATTCGTAAATGTGCTAAGCCTGGGGGTGTGGGCGTGTGATCCCAGCTACTCAAAGGCTGAAGCAGGAAGATTTTAAGTTCAAGGCCAGCCTGAATAACTTAGTGACTTAAAGAGAAATTATCCCAAAATTTAAAAAAAGGGGGGGGGGTCAGGGATACAGTTAAGTGGTAGAGTATCTGCCCAGCAGAGTACTTGCCCAGAATGTACAGGGCCTGGGCTTGATCCCCAGCACTGAAAAAGAGGAAAGAAAGAAAAAAGAAAAAAGAAAGATTACCCTTTACATCTGCTACAGCCATGAACAAATAATAACCACAAATGCTTCTAATGTACTTAATAATTGTGAAATACTTTCACATTCATGGTTCATGATCACTCAGCCTTTAAATGCCCCGTGAGAGCCAGGTGTGTGGCACATAACTTTAATTCCAGCACATGAGAGGCAGAGGCAGGCAGATCTCTGTGAGTTTGAGGCCAGCCTGGTCTACATAGTGAGTTCCAGGCCAACCATGGTTACACAGTGAGACCCTGTCAATTAACAACAACAACAACAATAATAATGATGATGATAACAAAGTCCTGTGAGTAATGAGTGCTGGAGAGCAAGTCAGAGTCAACTCCCCAGTATGAAGGACCCTTGGAAAGACCCAGTCCATCTAACTCCTGACACCTGCTGCTGAAGGTTCTCCCACCCGAAGAGGCACATAGGGTGGTAAAATGGGTGCAGGACTGAGGCATCATCTGTTGTGTGATCCTGAGCTAGTGACCTGACATGTGCTGGCCTCAGGAATGTAGGGAGAAAATATTGTTCAGAGAATTAAGAAATGAAGGATACGGGCTGGAGAGATGGCTCAGTGGTTAAGAACACTGACTGTTCTTGCAGAAGACCCAGGTTCGAATCCCAGCACACACATAGCAGCTAACAACTGTCTGTAACTCCAGTTCCAGGGGATCTGACGGCCTCTTCTGTCCTCTGTGGGCATTGTACCACATGGGTGCACTTATCTCCATGCAGGCAATACACTCATACACAAAAAAATAAAATAAAATATAAATAAAATTAAGAAAAGAAAGAAAGAAGCTGGGCGTGGTGGCGCACAGGAAAAGAAAGATCCCGCCTGTTGTCAGATTCAATCTTCTCTAAAAGCTCCATGAAGGAATCCAAAAAGAGAAAAAAGAAAGAAAGAAAGAAAGAAAGAAAGAAAGAAAGAAAGAAAGAAAGAAAGAAAGAAAGAAAGAAAGAAAGAAATGAAAGATAGCAGTCACCAAGAGGTATGTCCAGCAAAGTCAACAAATGGCCCCCAAATGTCATTCCCCTCCTTCACTTAGCATCTCTGTCCCTGTTCCATCACTGACCCTGCTCAGGCTATAATGTGACCCATTTTATTTTCTAAGACATGTCCTTATGGCCCAACTGCTCTTTTCTTATGGGCAGATCTCCCAGTCTTGCTATGAGCCTCTTGTCTCAGCCTCCCAAGTACTAGTATTATTGGAATATAGTAGTTCAT